ATGCTTTCTTTATCGGACAAATAAAGATTGTTCTACGGTTAACAATTAGCCGGACCGTAATTGTTAAGATTTTGTACAATTAGACTATAATAGATATCACCTACAACTAGGGATACCATATAGTTACTGGATTTAACCCTTGATAAAATAAAGGCTTGACTCCATCAGATATCTCTAAGGACTTAAGATTTATGATGAGTGGTTAAAGGTTTTATCACTAAGGACTTAGGGGAAAATAATCTAAACGGACGGTAGTTGAGGTAATGAACTTGTTGAAGAGATCAAGAGTAAAGGTTATTACATGGTCAGATCACACACCTACCCCTAGCATGCTCCTCATATAAGCGAAAAACCACTTTATATTTCTGCTACTTGTTAAGTGAAAATTTCACAACCAAAACTCCAAATCAAGTTTTGTCTAATTGAACCATAAATTGGACTCAATACTGATACACAGTCCTTGAGATCGACATTTAGGGAATTTCCTTATCATTACAAGAGGAAAAAATAGTACACTTGATATTTTGCCTATCATGCATTTGATTGTAGTGCGATACAACCTGGGATGATTCAATAAATGGCACTTTACTCTTTTTCAACCTTGGGAATTTAGGGTAAGTTTTCTAATGTTTCTCGTCCATGAGGTTTATTAATTTTGGTGCATCTAATCACATGATGTGTTTATCTGAATACTTGAACTTTTTTACATTTTTATCATGGTAATAAAAAAAATTCAAATTGTTGTTGGTAATACCATTTCTATCACCAATGTTAGTGACATAAACTCTAACTTCCAAAATATGCTTGTATCACCTGTACTTCCTTCCTAATTATTACCTATGGTTCAATTTCTAGATAGTAGATGTAATGTTAATAATTCTCGTGATAGTTGTCTTATGCAAGAGAATATATCGTTGAAGGTGATCACAAAGGGCCTAAACTTGGAAGATGGTTTCCACTCCAGTTTATTTCTAGTCACTTCTCTCTTTGTTATAATAATATTTTGAATTGTCATGAGGATTGGCATAGAAAATCAGGTCATCAAAACTCTATTGTTTTATCCCATTTATTTAAAATGGATCTGTTGGTAAATACAAGTGTAGTTTCTAGGGCTCTTGTTTCATGTTCTGTTTACGCATTAGCTAAAAGTAAGTCATTTCCTCTTCTGGTAAGTGTTCATAGCGCTTCAAATTGTTTTCAGATGATTAATAGTGATGTGTGGGCATGTCCCATATAACTTCTCATACTTATTATAAATATTTTGTAACATTTATTAAGGAATGAATTCATTTTTATTTAGATATATTTTTTATGATTTAAATCTGAGTATTTTCTATGTTTAAGAAGTTCTATATATATGCTGAAATTCAGTTTCAAGCAATTGTTAAAATTTGTTGCTCTAACTCTGGGGGTGAATATATGTCTCATGAGTTTCAGGAGTACTTACAACAAAAATGTATTTTGTCTCAACGATCTTGTCCTAATACGTCCCAACAATATGGGATGGTCGAGTGCAAAAATTGTCACCTGTTTGATGTAACACACACCTTACTTCTCCAAGATTATGTACCATTTTGATTTTGGGTGGAGGCTCTTTTTATAGTTATCTTCTTGATCAATCACCTTTCTTATACAATTATTGATCTTGATTCTCTTTTCTTTCATTTTATAAAACTCAGTATAATTATAGTGATCTACATACTTTTTGGTGTGTGTATTTTTCTCACCTACCTATGTTTGAAAGATATAAGTTTGGAGCTTGGTGTGTTCAATGTGCATTTATGGAGTATAATCACTCTCATAAGGGTTTTATGCGTTATGATGTCTCTAACTGTCGCTTTTTCATTTCTAGAAATGTGACATTTTTTAATAATCCATTTATGTTTCATTAATGGTATTGCTAGGCTTCATAATTTTTATATTATGCCTCAATCTATCGAACATTTTAAAACAAGTAATGTATGTCAGATGGAACACACACACATCAAATTCCCACCCCTTCCCGATATTGATTTCCTGAACCAGATGGACCACATCATTCTTGTTGAACATTTTGAGCCCCAGATAGCTATTTACTAGCCAGGTATGATCCATGCTTGTTAATCACATGTTGTCAAAGATGTGCTTTGGATAAAAGCAATGAATGAGGAGCTTCAGGGTCTTCGAGAGAATTTCACATGGGGTATTGTCTCTTGTCTTCACGATGTCAAACCTATAGGTTGAAAATGGGTGTATTATATGAAATTGGATTATGGTGGCTCTCTTATCCATTACATGGCTCTCTTGTCTGTTACAGTGCTCGATCAGTTACTTTAGGAAACAAGCAGGAATATGAAATTGATTATGATGAGACATTTGCACCAGTTGACAAAATGAGAACTGTTCGCATTGTGACTCCAATAAAACATCAAATGTGTGGTCTATTCAACAAATGGATGTGAAGAATACATTTATTCACGCCGATCTGACTGAAGATATTTATATGACTCATTCTCAAAGTTTATTCTCTTCCTCTAAGGCTGTGTGTAAACTTAAACTCTACTTATATGGGTTGAAACAAGTTTCCAGAGCTCTATAGGATAAGTTTCATTCTACTTTACTTGGATTCTTCTTTACCTAGAGTCAATATGAATCATATTTGTTCATTTGCCGCACATCTACAAGCATTGGTCTTCTCCTTCTTTATGTTGATGATATTATTATTATTGGTTCTGATCAGTAATCAATCCAAGAGCTTAAACAAACACTGAAAACCTCATTTCATATGAAAGACCTTGATAATTTACATTATTTTCTTGACCTTGAGGTTCATTCTACTTCCAAGGGTATTTTTCTCTATCAGCATAAGTATGTCACATACCTGATTTCTATGGCCGACCTTCAATAAGCTAATCTGATGGATACTCTTCTTAAAGTTAATGTCAAATATCACTGTGATGAGGGTGACCTTTTGGCTGATAATTTATTGTATCACTAGCTCATGGGTAGTCTCAACTACTTGACAATTACTCAACTTGACATATCACTTGTTGTTCAACACGAAAGCCAATTCCTGCACTCTCTTCGCCATCTTCACTTAGCAGTAGTTCATCGTATAATTCACTACTTGAAAGATACCTCTCAACGAGGCATATTCTTTCCTATTGAGACAACTCTTACATTTGTTGCTTATGATGTTGATTGGACCAAGTGTCTTGACACTAGGTGATCTGTAACCGGTTAGTGCAAATTTCTTGTTTCTTCGTCGATCTCCTAGAAAATCAACAAGTAAGTAAGACTCTCTAAATCTTCTACTTAATCAGAGTATTGTGCCATGTTTATGGTCTATTCTGAGATAATTTGACTTTGTGGTATTTTGGCTAAAATTGGATTTCCTCGACTAGAGCCAAAGTCTTTCTATGCTGACAATACAAATACTATTCAAATTGTTGCCAATTTGGATTGTCACTCTATTAGAGATGTCTATGACGATAATATTATTTATGTTCCTCATTTTAACACTCAATTATAGATTGCAGATATTCTTCCCAATGCTATTCGTCATTTGCGCCATTAGTTTCTTATTATCAAATTAATGTTATTTGATCAACAAGGGAGAATGTTGTTTCCTATTGAATGTTGGTCAAACCTTTATTGTATATATTTAGATTCTCTAATTTAGGCTAACAAGATTGGATAATACAATATTTATAATTATGAGTTGTAAATGCCTACTGATGCTGATGTCTTGTATATAGAGGAGAAGCGAGGGCTAATCTTATTGTATATAGTGAAAAGTGAACGAAGTTTTAATTATTTTTTAAATACTAAATCACTTATGAAGATGGTCCATATTAAAATTTGTCAATATTGTAAGAAAAGTGTAACTAAAAACAAATAAAAATTAGAATCATCTTGGAAAAAATGGATTAGATACCTAAAAAATAAGTTTGTGAATAACCTACTAATCTCGTAGCTAAAAAAAGATCCAAATAGCATAAGAGTTAGTTTATAATATAAAATTATAAGTTAATTGGCTTTTTGAATTTGTAGTATTTGAAAATTTTAGCAATTGAATTAATTTATAAATATGAAATAACAAAAAGATTATATTCGATCAATTTTTTTCTTCTTTCAATTAAGACAGTAGAGTAGGTGCAAAATTGAAAGAGAAAAACGACAATGTATTTGAATTAACTTATCTAAAAAGCTATTAGCTACTAAAAATAAATTATAAACTCTTAGAGAAAATAATGATTGTCAAAATTAGTGTTTTTAAAACTAAGAATATAAACTATAAACTCAAAAAATAATCTTGTCAAACATACTCTAAATCTCAAAGAAACACAACTTTCATTGTTTCAAACAAAAAATATCAAAGTACAGTAAATAATACAATAGTAACCAAACAAGATTCAGTATTTTGCAGACTAATTTTATCTGTCATCTCTTTCTTTCTGTATACTTTCTTTTTCTACAAAAATGACTGAATCAGCCATACACTAACAGCAGAATGAGTCAAACTTGTATCGCAAGGAACTAAATTGTTTCTTTACTTCACTTTCCTCTATCAACGGCTGTTCAATCACCGCGGTAGAGTTCATCTAACATTCAAGGTTGAACCAAAAGTCTCACAGAAGCTTCCTTCTCAGGTGTCACAACGACGAACTAGCCAAGTCATGAAACGACGCTTCACCGTGCACTGCAAAGGCTAGATTCAGTTTATTCTTAATGCAGAAAGAAATACTCCTCAATTTTGAGACAGATAACAAGTCTGGCAAAACCCTGCTTATCGTGCTATTGAAGCTGTCAAAAGAAATACATGATTATTCACAGGGTAAAATGCAGTGTTCACTGATCATCATTGCAATGAATCAAATTTACCTAAAACTTGGTAACAAAGATTACACATACCTATATATTATGAGTATTGCACGTGTTGTCGGGATGTGTGTAACATTAAATCAGCATGCCTGTTGTTACTATGCCTAATAAAGATGACAGTCTGCACCTATGTATTATCAGTGTTGCACTTGTCGGGATATCTGTAGCATCCAATCAGCGTAACCACCATTACTGCCCATCTGGTCCTCAACAAGGTTTGCAAGAAGGAGGAATCCTTCTTTGGGCTGTTCACCTTGCCTCACTAGGTGGCACAACTGGTAAAATGCTTGATCACTTTTTCTTAATTTTTCAAGTACCCTAATCAGCCTCCTCGACATTTCATTGTTATGCTCTTTGAGAGTAGCCTGTTATAAAGAAGAAGATTATACACACCAGAAGAAGCAGATGGATTTCAAATTTGGCAGCAAGAATATACAATACCTTTGATAACTCTCCTGCAAAATCTGATCCAAGTAAATTCTTTGCAAAATCAGGTGAAATCACTGTACCAAACCATATATTGAACTTGAAGCCATCATCATATATATAAAGGCCCCTAGAGTCTAAGCTATCCCTAGTCAAAGGTAGCCTTCTCTCGATGCTTTTGAAGTCATCAGCCGGTACGGTACCCTGGAACACAAGAAATAATTCAAGGATCTGACAGTTAAGCCTTTTCAATGGTATATTTGAAAGGGCAAAATACTCACCTTCAGAAGATATTCATCAAGTCGAATCAAGCTAGGATATAGAAGTTTCAACAATCTTTTTATAGGAAGAGCCATCATTGTATGTCCTGCTGCACATCGTTCATCCAGTGAAACATCGCCATACCCTCCACGCAGAGCCATTGATCTATTAAGAGCTAATACATACAACATTAGAAAATTTAAAGACTCAGGATATATCATTCTGTTGGCCGAGCGATGATGCACAGCATAAATATTTCGATACTCCTTCAGGGCTTTCACAATTCTCAGTTGCAACGCACTCCGTGCATCTTCCAGTTTATGGGACAATGTTTTCTCAAATGCTACAGATATGAAAAAACCGTGTAAGATAGAAACAAACATATCTATCACCTATGATGTCACTACTAGAACATGAGTTCAAAAGTCCTTTTATCCTACCTAACCTACTAAACAGAGATACAATTGCACCAGTATCAGCCAATCGATAAACATCAGCCAATTCTGTAACTACTGGCAGTGCCATCGTGTGTACTCTTATACGCCTTTCTCCACAAGATGCAGTATAACTATTTTGTTGTCAGGAAAGAAACTTTTTAACAATATATCTGATATTCCAAGAAGGATATTGTGTTTTCCTTTTTGAATAGTAGAGTATCACAAAACCTATGATTCAACAATGTATATAAAAATAAAGCTCCTGAATATTATAACTCGTTTTACGAACTATGGAAGAAAGGATACAGCAATGCAACTTGAAAATAAACTGTCTGAGTTGTCAATAGTGTCTCTTCAAGTGTTAACTGCATGGCAAAGGCTTTATCACAATCTACAGCTGGAAGTGCCAACAAATCGGTGGACTTCAGCATGAAGTTTCCATGATAAGTTGTGACACGAACACCTAGAAGCATAGACAATTATTAGCAATCGTATTTGTAAGTGTGTCTGTTTAATCATATATGTTTAGTTTTATATATACATTGTATAAAAATTTCTAAGACATAACGAATGCACAAACCTTTTCCACATCTAACACGCATTACAGCTTCCCATGCAGTCTCTCTAGTGAGGTCTCTTCTTAATTCATGTCTCAATTTCTCACCATGTATAGATGATTGGAAAGCTGGATAGTAATACACATGACCGGCAGTGTACTTTGCCAGAGTTCCTAAACAGACAATAAATCATAAATACATAACAGGTTCAGCACTAATATGGCCTGCGAAAGTTAGAAGAAATAGTATAAATTTTTTTACCTAAAGAGGCTATGTCAGTATACTTATCACTGAATGCATATATATTTGCTGAAATTTGGCATTTAGACAACTCAGCAGCCATTTGCTTGTAAAACGGTTCTTCTGGCAGTCTCAAACCATGTTCTTTATCTGTCCCATAAATACGAGAATCATCTCCGCGTAACTTTAAGCGACCAATACCAAGAGATGGTAGTGTATTTTGAAAAATTAACAATTTCCCTCCAAGTTGACTCTGCATAGAGAGGCACGGAAAGAACACAACAGAGTAGTGCATAAGAAAAATGAAATTGTCAAATGTACTAGCAAACATACTCAAAAGTCGATAATAGAAAGTAAGTATGATTAAAAAATTACCATAACCATTAAAGCAGCCTTAATAGCGGGACCAAAAGCTGATTCCACATTAACATTGTCCTGGAACATAGTTGGCAAGCTATCTAGGAAGCTCTCCACCACACTTCTTGATTCAGATAAGTTAACAAGAAGATCATCTGGCAGCGGAATGAATATGTCATCCAGATCAGAGACAACCAACATCTGTGGTTGAGTCAAGCATGACTGCAAAGGCATAATTCATAGAATGATTAGTACAAGTCATGGCCTAATAAAAGGAAAGCAGACACATTAACAGTAATAGTAATAGTTGTTGGAAAGGGTTTTCAAGAAAGATGATTTAAGGAAGAGAGAAGAGAGAGAATTGAGAATTTGTTATATGAATTATTTTTCACTGTGAATGTATGTAATATTATTACAAACTCAGCAACCCTTTATATAGGCAAACAATGCCCAGGCTCAATTACACAAAATGCTAAAGCCCAAAACATGATTTCGACAAACTGCTATATCTGTTGTATTCGACTCTGTTGAATACAACTTACAACCTATACAAAAGCTATTCAACATACACCACACAAGCATTTAGACAGAACAAGAATTATACATCTAACAAACCACCTAATTCATGTTCTCGAGACTTCTCATTCCGATGCCTTTTTTTTTAACTCGTCGAATCTGAATTTCTTCAGAGGTTTGGTAAATATGTCGGTCAGTTGCACTTCTGTCTTGCAATGTTTTGTCTCAAGCTTCCCTTTGTTGACTTGATCCCTCAGAAAATGATACCTTCTTTCTATGTGCTTACTTCGACCATGACACACTGGATGATTTGCCATATTTGTAGTTGACTTGTTGTCGACAAACAACTTCATCTTCTTAGGTTCCATTATTCCGAATTCTTCAAGTAGCATTTCAATTCTTGCTGCTTGGCATGCAACATATGACGCAGTCACATATTCTGCTTCGCATGATGACAAAGCCACAATGCTTTGCTGCCTCGAACTCCAAGAGATTGGAGCACCTTCAATCATGAAAATGTAGCCTACAATACTTTTCTTTTCGTCTTGATCTCCACTGAAATCTGAGTCAGTGTATCCATGAACTTCGACATCTGTGCTGTTCTTCGACTTCTTTGGTAACATCACACCATGATCAATAGTTCCCTTTATGTATCCCAACACCCTCTTTACTGCGATGAGATGACATTCTTGTGGTTTCTCCATAAATCTACTCAACAATCCTACACTTTGGCAGATATCTGGTCTAGTAATGCAAAGATATCTCAAAGATCCAATGATTTGTTTGTAAATGGTCGAACTTACAAACTCATCATTCGTTTCCTTTTTCAACTTTGATCCAGTTTCTAACGGAGTGACAGCTGCCTTACAGTTTCTCATATTAAACCTCTTCAAAATATTTTGAGCATACTTCGTTTGATGCAAAAAAACTCCTTCTTCAATGTGATTTCCTAAGTCATACATTTCGAATTCCTGCATTAATTTCGACTTTACCTTCATTATCTTAGCTTCGCATGCTTCTGTAATGAGTAAGTCATCGACATAGAGGCATAGAATGATTTGACTGACACTGTCGATATCACTTACATACACTCCATGTTCAGAGACACACTTTGTGAAACCTGCGTCGATCAGGAAGTTATCTATCCTCTTATTTCAAACTCTAGAGGCTTGTTTCAAACCACAAAGAGCCTTCCTTAATCTATATAATTTCAACTCTTGCCCTTTGACGTCGAATCCTGGTGGTTGAGTAACATAGACTTCTTTTTCCAATGGACCATCCAAAAATGTTGACTTTACATCCAACTGATGTATCTTCCATCCTCTATATGCTGTTGTCGAAACAACAATTCTGATTGTTTCTAGCCTCACAACAGGCGCATATACTTCGTCAAAGTCGATACCAGGTTTTTGTAGAAAACATCTGGCCACCAGTCTTGCTTTATACTTCACAATCTCACAATTTGGTCTTCGTTTCACCTTGTAAATCTACTTTACATCGATTGGTTTCTTGTTGGTTCTTTCTACATGCTCTTGGGTCTTGTTCTTCTCAATAGCTCCAAGTTCTTCTTTCATGGCTTCACAGATATTCGAATTGCTTAAGGCTTCGCCCAAATCAATTGGTTCTGCTTCAGCCATCATCATGGCTTCTTCGATTAAGTCGCCATCTGCATCGACTGCTTGATCTGGAAACCTTTCATATCCGGTTAGCCTGGTCGACTCAGTTCTTGTTCTTGTCGATCTTCTTTCATTCTGCACATGTGGTTCTTCATTTCGACTAGTTGAAGTATCACCTTGTTCATTTTGACTTGTCGAAGCTTCGTTCTGCTCATCTTCGTCGAACACAGTTGTGACTGTGCCTGATTCTTGTCGAACTGAACTTTGACTCCAGTCCTAACCTTTGCTTTCGTCTACAAGAACATCTCTACTGATCACTAGTTTATCTTTGTTTGGTGAATACAACTTGTATGCACCAGTCAAATGATCACTAGTTTATCTTCGTTTAGCTTTCAATATACTTCTCGCCATGTTCAGTATACTTCTATTCTTTCTCTCATATACGCCATTATGCTGAGGCGTATAGGGTGCAATAACCTCATGATCTATACCTTCCTCATTGCAAAATCTAGAAAATTCAGCAGAAGTATATTCACCACCACTATCAGTTCTTAACTTCTTCAATTTGCAGCCACTTTGTTTCTCAGCATACAACTTGAACTTCTTGAACTGTGTGAATACCTCACTCTTCCTTTCAATAAGGTAAATCCACATATGTTTGGTGAATTCATCAATGAAAGTAAGGAAATACTTGTTATCTCCATTTGACTTTACTTCAAAGGATCCACACACATCAAAATGACCCAATTCCAGTTTTTTCTTTGATTTTACGAGCAAATTATGTTTGAACGCCTTTCTTTCCTGTTTTGCCATGCAACATTCCTCGCATATCTGCTTTGGTTCCTTTACATACGGCAACCCAAACACCACCCTTTTCTGATTGAGCATGCATAAACTCTTGAACTTTAGATGTCCATACTTGTGATTCCATAGCCAGTTCTTGTCTTCTTCTGTAGTTGAAGCAAGAGATTTGTGATCTGATGTGTTGGGTTCAACTTTGAACGTTTTATTCTCCGTCAATGGTGCTTTCTTTTTATTAGCCTCCCATCAGCCATATATACCTTCATCTGATTTTTCTCCAACTACATATTGAAGCATTTTGCAAGTAATTAACCAACACTTATCAAGTTACTTGTCATAAAAGGTACATATAGTACTTCAATGATAGTAGCTTTTCGACCATCCTTCCTGATAATTGAAATATCTCCTTTACCACCTGATTTGATGTGCCTGCCATCTGCAAACTTTATCACCTTTTCGACTGACTCATCTAACTTGATAAACCAGTTTTTATTGCCAGTCATGTGGTTGCTGTATCCTGAATCCAGATACCATATGTTTTTTTTCTCAGTGATCGACTAAGTCTTCACCATCAACAACACATCATCTGAATCACTATCTTCAGCTCGTGCATATTGAGCTTCATTACTATCTGTCGCCCTCGCCGCTTTCTTTCTTCGACAGTCTCTAGCATAGTAACCAAAACCTTGACAATTTAACATTGCACTTCTTTCGTGTCAACTTTCTTCTCAGAATACTTGTTGCCCCCACCTTTCTTGATCGAATTAGTATTCTTGCTTGACTTCTCATCACTAGCAAGATCCTTTCGCTGCTTCGACTTCTCTTTTCCAGTTTTCTTGCTGAATCTTGATTGCAATGCTTGTTCAGTCACCTTCTCTCTTTCTGAGTTTCTCTGCTTCAACCTCATTTCATAAGCCTCTAATGAAGCTTAAAGTTCTTCTAACTTCATCTCAGATAGATTCTTGGCCTCTTCAATAGTCACAACAATGTAGTCGAAATCTGCAATTAAAGATGTCAACACCTTTTCTAGCTTTTGCAGATCCGTAATCGATTCACCACATGCCTTCATTTGGTTTGTTAGTGCCACAACTCTTGAGAAATATGCAGAGATTGATTCATCTTCTTTCATCTGAAGCATCTCGTATTGCTTCCTTAGTGTCTGCAACTTCACCTTCTTCAATTTCTCATCTCCACCATACAAGGTTTTTAGTTTTTCCCAAGCTTCTTTTGCTGTTTCTTCTTCAATTATTTTCTCAAATACATCAAAATCCACACACTGGTGAATCAAGAACAATGCTTTACCATCTTTCTTCCTCTGATCTTTGTGCGTAGTTTTCTGGGCTTCCGTCGCATCTACTTCTAGTTCTGATACTCCATCATTTAAGATTTCAACATCTTGAAATCTGAAAATAACCTTCATCTGCGCAACCCACCGCTGATAGCTTTCACTTTTGAAAACCGGTAGATTCTTTAGAAACTGTGTTGATGTTGTTGTTCCATTTTCCATTAGATTCTCTCTGAATCGCAATCGAGCTCTGTTATACCAATTTGTTGGAACAAAAAGTTTTCAAGAAAGATGATTTAAGGAAGAGAAGAAAAAGAAGAGAGAAGAGAGAGAATTGAGAGTTTGTAATATGAATTATTTCTCAATGTGAATGTATGTAATATTGTTACAAACTCAACAGCTCTTTATATAGGCAAATAATACCCAGACCCAATTACACAAAATGCTAAAGCCCTAAACATGATTTCGAAAAACTGCTATATCTGTTGTATTCGACTATGTCGAATACAGCTTACAACCTATATAAAAGCTATTCGCCATACACCACACAAATATTTAGACAAAACAAGAATTATACATCTAACAGTAGTGCACTAAAGGCTAATAGTACTACCAACCTTCATATTGTAAAAATGAATAGTGCTGTCAAAAGTTGCAAATCCTATTTGTGTTCGTGAAAAGCCAGGCAGCTCATCTAAGCAAGACTTGATTGTTTGGGCTACAACCTGGGTTGCCAACAGTTACGTCAGAAATCAAGATAAAGTGTGGCTAAACCTCCGAAATGGTAGGGACAAACATTTTTTCGGTAGCCCCAAATACAAATATCATTCCATAACCCAAAACTGCACGGAAAAAAAAATGCCAAGTATTATTTTGCAAAAGTAATTTACTCTTTGCCAAGGAGTAAATTATGAAAAAAGAACGCGAAAACTCTAATGGTTAAGACTTCGTATGCAGTACAAGTTATACAATATGCCAGAAATGAAGTGCTTACCGCAATCATGCCACTTCTAGCTGCAGACACGGAAACATCGATGAGGAAGAAATATAATGGGGGCATAGGAGGCCGCACCATATACTCAGTAGGGGCAACAAATTCTACAGTACCCTTTGTAAGCTCGGGTCGTTCATTCAAATCAACTCTTTGGCCAGTGGCATCTAATTGTGCATAATATTCACTGGGAACTACAAATATGGCACAATAGTTTAACATCTTAAGATAAACAATTCAACTAATTCATAATATATCTGACACAGAAAATGTAGGTTTCAACACTAGTTCTGGAAATTGCATGCAAGTAACCTGTCTGGTTTCACATCATAGCAGAGCTATAATCCACATATCATGACAGTAATAAATATACTGCACAACCGACATGAATATGCTGACTCGGAAAAATCAGAGAGCAAGTTGCACTCCCATGACACTGCTCCATACTCCATGTTATATAGGTAAACAAATCAAGTATTTGCATTGGTTTATTTATCAAGTTTCTTTTTGGGCATATCCAATGAATGCAATGATACAGAAATTAATGAATTATAAGGGCCTCTAATAAAATCATCTCTTATTACACAAATGTGCAGGCCTGAAAAACTTGAAACTTGATTTCAACCATTTTTTTCCTTAATGACTTTTCAGTTTATAAGACAAAAGACACCGCTATGGGAGTAAAAGGTACCATCATTAAGCGTGGTGCATACATTGCACCTGAACTTTCTTCCAATGTCTGTGAATGTCATATAAGGATTCACATATGTGCGGCATCTTCTACAGCGCATAACATTAGCAGGAACAAAATTAATTATAGGCACCACTTCCTGAAAATAAAAAACAACAAACAAAGGTAAATAACGTGATCAGTAAGTAACTGGTTATCAAACAAGTAAATAAAGGGACTAACCCCATCAGGAGATTCGGCAAGTGGACATATTACTGCTCCAAGAGGCAGATGCCACCTTGAAGCTAAGGAATGGGAGTTAGGAATTCCGCTGGTTGTGAATCGTAGATATTTGGGATTGCAATTCATCGGATACATCTCAGTCAAATTTGTTGGCTCCACATCACCATGCAACGGCCTAGGAAGTTCCTTAGGATCAAATAGTGATTCCATTGTTCCAGGGCGAGTTTGCATTGTGATAGTACTGAAGTCTTCTGTTAAGCCTTGAATGGGAGCAGTAGGGGGTATTGATCCTGGCTGCTGTGTGGGCTGGATACCTAATGGATTAGCCATTGGAAGTGATGGAACGTAGCCTCCTTGATGAGTTGAAAAAGGAGAAGATGCTGCAGGTCCATAATTTCCTTGATTAGCAGGAATAGAGGAATGCATAGGTGGAGCATGCATTTCAGCACCAGGCTGCATATGGGCGTATCCAGGAAAAGATGGTTGATATTGAGAAGGAGGGGGAACATTTGAACCAATAGGTGGAGATTCCATTGGAGCATTAGGCATTTGCGGCTGAGGTGAAAGAGATGAGAGAAAAGGACGTGCTTGGTATGCAGGAGGTTGAATTGATTGTCGTGTAAGAGGAGGCTGAGCCGGTGAGGAAAATGACGGTGCTGGAAAATGCTGAAAAGGCCCAACAGCTGACGGGGGAGGGGGAGGAAGAGGCTCGGACGGGTAATTCAACCTCGGTGGTGCAGGTCTAAAACAAGGTGCCCCAGGTTGAACTCCAGGTCCAGACAATGAAAATGGCACGGTGGTTCCAGGAGGAGTAGGTCGGAAAGAAGGAGGCTCTGATGCAGCAGCGAACCCTATAGATGAAAAAGGCGTCATACTCTGGGGAGAAACAAAAGGTATGGAAACAGGTCTTGCAGGGAAGCCTGTACGATCTATGTTTTTAGTCCCCATAGATTACAATACAGAAAGATCCAAATCACTCTGATTTTATTTCATCAAAACCTTGTTCCATCACAAAACCTATTAGAAAATAGAAAAACAATGGTACATTACAATTCAGAGTTCACAATACAGTTCAAATCAAAAATAATTATTAGAACTCGGATGAATATCAACTGAAATGTACTCAAAAGTCAACTGAAAATAAGACAAACCAGATGCAGTGGACGGAGATGGTTACGCTGCCGGGGACACTCTCTAACCGTTCCTTTCTTTTTCAGTTATTCAGTTGATCAGCGCGTTTTTTGTTTTTTATTTTATTTTGTTTTTGTAACGAGAAATTTTCGTTTGGGATGTGAATCTGTAACTGTTCGTGTTGGCTTTGTTACCGGGCCTTAATTCAAATGAACTTTTAAAGGCCATTGCTCTTAGCACCCTTACCTTTAGTGGTACTCACCCACCTGATAAAAAATGGGGATTTCTTATTCCACTCCATATCTAAAAGAAATACCCTTTGTAATTATGAAAATATCTCTTAAAAATCAGAAATGCATTTCTGATTCGCACTATATTTTACAAAAATAGGTCAAATGTGGTTTCATCCTTCAAAATGTAAAAAACAAAATCAGAGATATACTTCTGTTTCGGTACCGGTATTATGTTTCCGGTTTTTAGAGCGGCAAGATTGGTTTTTTCCGCCACCTTGTCACTTCGTATATAACAGGAAGTATACTTCCGGTATTATGGAAAATTCATAATGCTTAAAACAGTAACCATCGTTGTCAACTTCGATCAAACCATTTCTTCTTCTTTCCACAAAACCTCATCATATCTAAAGGAGTTCAAGGAAGTGAAATTTAAGGTAAAGTTTATTCATTTCAATCCTCATTCCTTATATTAATCTGTTCTTCATTGTGGAAAATGTTACGTGAAATCGGATGTATATTTTTGATTTGTAGTTGAACGTAACCAGAAATGCATTTCTGGTTTCTATCTGTGTTTAATTGACAGCAGATTCTACCATGTTCTATGTAAGTGTTAATAAGTTTTAAGTTTTTTATAACATTAGGTATGATGTGTAACACCCTTTTAAAATCCCACGATTTTCAAGAATATTTTTAATAAATAAATAAACGTAAAACAATAGTAAGAATGTCACATCTTCATGTAAACATCATTTCACAAATAATTCTGTTCTGTAACACGGGTTGCAAAGAAAACACTTAAATATATCTCTAGTATCACAACTAATTCATTTTAATCTCCGCAGCGAAATTAATGAGTCTTAAACTCCTTCATAAAATAATCTTAATACCATGAAAGGTAGTTCAAATGTTAATAAAATCATCACACTTCATGTTTATAACATCGTAATCCAAAACATGGCAAAAATCATGACGGCAATACAAAATCTCTAGATGACAAAATAGTGTATGATTCACAACCAATCGATCCCAATCCTGATGTTACATATCAGAAGAAGACTCCCTTTATTCAACGAAAAGCAATAAACACACTCTAAAGCTATACTGTAAGCTTCAACAAATTATTCATGATCACCTGCAAGTTACTCACGGATAGAGGAAACATTTCCAAGTCGAAAGGGTGAGTAGATCATAATCATTATAAAAGACATAAGGAGTAAATATAGTAGACATGCACTTAGGCAAGTTGTTGTACCCCAAAATTTGCCCTCTCATTCTCAAGGCCTTTCTTACAAGGATTTTCAAGGTTCAAGCTTGAACAAGTGCATTTGGATTTTCCAATACCAAAATTAAAAGGAAACTGTCAAAAAGGGAGAAAACAGATAAAAATATTATTTTGACAAAAATTGGAGAAATACAAGTGTTCTTCGATTGGCCTTTTGGCCTCTTTCGACACAAGCTTGGCTTGTATCCTTCGATTGGCCTTTTGGCCTCTTTCGACACAAGCTTGGCTTGCATCCTTCGATTGACCTTTCCTTAGGATAAAATAAAAAGTCGGTGGCGACTCTTGCTAAACCGCAACATTTGCGAACACAAACGCAAAACCTCAAGTCAGTTCTCCCACCGTATCACAGAACTGGTGACTCTGCTGGGGATAATCTTTAAAAGTGGGGTTACCTTAGGGTTTTAGATCACCTTTACATGCTTACTTTGATTGCTTTGATTGCTTTACTTCTTGGGTTCCTTGTTTGGGTTTGTTGTAAAATCCTACACCCGGATTTGGAGGCACCTTTTTAGGTAAATAGCAATAAACTGTGAGGGAACTGTGCGGGGTATACCGACATGGTTGAAGCAGTAGCTATGTTAGTGTGACATATTTGTGGGTACCGGTAGCTATTGAGTAGTCAAGGAGAATACGGGACCGCTGAGTGATGTCATGAAGCACTAACTAACTCCTAAAACCTTACTTGACCATCTTGGCCTTTTTAGGGGTAGTGAGATGACCGACTTTGGTGCAGTCCGAAGTTGGTAGATACTAGATATTACACTCATTGAGGATTGTTTTCTTGGAATATTTTGGTCGCCAGTTAAGTGGCTAAACCAAAACAATGAACATAGAAAATAATCCAGTGATATTGAGCTCCTTAGAACCCGGTTTCTATTTTAGGACAGGTTGAGCCAACTAACTTCAAGAGGGTACTTACCTACAAACCCCATGCAAGCCTAAACCTAAGGACTTGTCTGCTTTGTGTGAATATGATTACCTGTATATACACTTGCTTATTTTTGCATACATGTACATAACATCATAACATCATACCATAGCATTTTTTTCAATAACCATTTCAAGGATCTCGAGGGTCTTTTGATGCAGGGTCACGTTGAACCAGACGTCTACCAAAGGGCAAGAGGGTTCCCCACTAAACGAACACCGTCAAAGATCAAGTGCAACAACTTGAATCAGGGGCTATGACCCACTTGACATGGTGAGCTTGATTCTCGTGGAAAGACATCCACCGATACAAAGTTATCCAATCAAAGGTGTTGACCAAAGTTCAACCTCTAACATTTCTCTTGTGTTTACCCCGAGAGATTCTTGAAAACATGCATCCACATATCATGCATTGCATCATAATAGGTTTTCCTTTTCAGGTTTCCTTATTCTCCTACTGTTTATTTCAGTAGAGATGGCTCTAGAGCAGACTATCAAGGGTACCCAGGATCAAAACGCTCAACTTCAAGAAATGTTCTTGAACCTGTCCCAGGGCAAGAAGAAGTGAAAGCTCTCCTCACAAGGGGCATGGTCCTAAGGAATTCAAGCGGTGTCAGGAATGATCAGTTGGAGGAACTGCGGATTGAGCTGGCAACAATGAAGATCCAAATGATGGGACAACTAGTGAGCCAGATGGCTCTCATCCAAAACCTAGCTCAAAGACAAGAAGAGCTTAGGGTTCTCGTTAAAAATCTGCTTCGAAACAACCAAGTGGGGCAAACACCTAAGGTTGAAGATCAAGTCATCATTCAACCCCCCTTGAGACAAGAAGATAATGGAAAAGCTCTTCAACTTGTTTCGGGGTCATGAGCCCAACAACAACCTCGCCAACAACAACAAAAGAATCAGCACAAGAAGGTTGCACCTAGGAGACAATTTACCAGGATTGGCATGTCGTTAGCTCAGGTGCTACAACACCTGTTGAAGACAGGGCTAATTGCATTAAAGGCTCCTCATCCGAACCCTAAGACTTCTTCTCCTAACTACAACCCGGAATCAAGATGTGCTTATCATTTTGGTAGCCCAGGGCATGACACAAACAACTGTTGGGTTCTGAAGAACAAGGTCCAAGACATGATTGATGCCAAGGAGATCGAGCTTGACCCTCCAGAGACTCTAAACGTGATCACTGCTCCTATGCCAAATCATTGAGAGCGTCTTTGTTTCATTTTAATTTTCAAGTTGTAATTCCTTTTGTTATTCAAACAATTATCTGTTGATGTCAAACTCTGTTTCATTAATACATTGCATATGTTTGTCTTGAATTCATCCATTCGTTTTCATTATTCTTAAATTATGCTTCCTACTTTCTTTATGATATTTAACTCTTGATAAAAAGCTACAAGCTTTTAGAGGGAGGATGACGAAACAATGCCATAATCTCATACAGTATGCTTTTGGACAGACCTTGCTGACGATGTACAGACATTTCTTTCAAATCCTAAACACTGGAGTTATAAGGAAGATAATCCCTAGTCAACCCCTTCGAGCCAAAGAAGTAGGAGTTTTCTGTTTTAAAACAAAATGAAACCTTTGATCTAAACCTGGGGCAGGGTAGTCTCTCAGTTAATTCAAAAAAAAAGATGCGCTTTAAGTCGCAAACTCTCAGTTCATAATACAACGAACGACATCAAAAGCATTCCTCTGGAATCAAAAGACAATGGTGGTTCCTTATCTCATAGGCAGTCAATCTCTCAAAAGAGAAAAGCCCACTAAGCCAAAACCTACAAAGGAGGCTTAAGAAAGCTAGGGCATCCCGCTGACTGTAATCTCGAAAACAGGAACAGTCAGGCAAAAGTTAGGGATAACAAATCAAAAGAACGAGGTCGCTACAAATCCTCAACAACATGAAAAATGTTGCAAAAATGACTGCCTTCCAAAATCCAACTTGTGTGAACCATCACCAAAACGTCGTTCCAAATTCGAATAGAGTTTGACGCACAATTAACTGAGTCTAGGATTGAAGAACATCACGAAGAGCGGGTGGGTACAAATACATTTGAGCCTTTATCCTTTGTTTCTTAAACCGTGAACCAAGCCACTTTACAATCCTTCAAAAGTCCTAATTGAAGCATGGGTTAGTTCGAAAGCATACTGTTACAAAAGGTATCCTGACTCCTGTAAGGCTCTGCTCTAAATCCCGAGTTTGAATTTTCTTAGCAAAATTTCTTTACTCGCTAAAACGCATTTTCAAAAAACTTCAAGACAAACATAAACTTTGCATTACTTGAATATCATTGTTTGCATATGGCTATTTGTTTAACAACGGAGAAATTCACACAATGAATATCCGATGAACGAAAGCTCTCCCAGTG